CACACAAATCAGAATGAATCAATCCTAGCACTTCTTGGCTCCTTCGCCCCTTTGCGCCTAAAACGGCCTCTTGGTCATCTTACCTTCTAGGCAGGACTCGCAAGTCTGGTAATGATCTTCTACTGAACCAAGATGCCCAGTAGATACCAACCTTTGAATCCTCCTAAGGTTGATGTGCCCAAGCCTAAGGTGCCAAAGATATGCTTGATTCATCGAAGACTCTTTTCTCTTATTAGTTTTAGTCGAGACATTATTCGATTCATTTTGTTGCAGTGTGGGAGACTTTGGTTTCAGAACATATAGATTGCCAACTGTAATATCCCGATATTCTATCGGTATAAATTACGTTAGTTCCGATATAATAATGTTGTCGGTTATTATTGTCGGAATTAATTATTTTCAGTCGGAATACCGAAATCTATTTTCGACGTACCGTTTACGTTCGAAATAATTTTGGTAATTAAGTATTATGTTTAATTGAATAATTAAACATAGATTTAGAGGGATTAATGTTAATTAATCACCAATTAGGGCATTAACCGTGCACTTAGAAATTTCCTCCAAGGAATGTTAACTAAATGCCGTGAGATATATATATATNNNNTATATATATATAGTAAATTAGTTTCAATTCTATGTTAAGCCGTAGGGGGGTTAAGAAGCTTGGTTCCATTTCAATTAATTTCATTAAAAATCGAACCTTTCTTAGCATGAGGGAAACTTATCTCCCTTTTTCTAGTAATGCCACTTGTCAAGTAAAGGGGGTGATTAGTTATCAAAGGACTCATGAGATTTCAACAAGTGTTAAGGCCTAAAGAGGCCACACTACACCTATGTCACCTCCATTCTCCCACGGCCGATTATAAAGGAGGACCCTTGCATTAAATTTTGGTCACATTTTCCTTAAGAAGAGAGCATATATTCAGCAAAGCAAACCGTAAGTTCTACAGCTAGAAGTTATATCATTTTTCCCTCAATATTTCTCCAAATCACACGGCAATTAAGGTGAGGCCATACTCACGGGCACGTGGGGTGAAGAATCAAGCCATAGTTCTTCCGTTTCCGACGAGCAATCCCAGAGGTAACCTCCTCCTCCTCTGGTAATTTAGTTGATAGAGTTAAATTGGGTTTAAGTGTTCGAGTAACTTGCGAGAATTTGTGAAAAGGCCGTGCCTAACTCCGACCATGTCTAAGTAAAAGCCTAACCGAGTAATCTTTAATTTCTTCCGACAACGTTCATTTAAATGTTCAGTTTAGTCGATTTTATGTTCATTATGATCAGCTTGATTGAGTAAAGATGAAGTATAGGCGATGAAATGGCCCCAGCCGACGCCCGCGCCCATCGCGCGTGGCCTCGGGTGGGTTCGGGCCGAGAGTTGTTGCCTTCAGTATGATCATGTTATCCGTGTGATTAAGTCTAAAATTGTTCCAGTATTATGATCAGTTTGAATTGTTCTGAAGTTGCCGGAGGAAAAGTTATTTCAGCCGAGAGGCGGCACATAGCCGTCGGCGGCGCACGGGCGTCCGCCACGGCCCTTTTATATTCAGCGTGCATCAATTGTATTTTCAGGTCATTTTATTCATGTTAAGTTATATGGTGATCAGTCATGATAAGGTAGTCGGAAGAATTGTTCAGTTCAGTCGAAGGTTGTCCGAGGGCAGTAGGCCTCGCACATAGCGAGCGCACCACGGCCGAGTGTTCGGTTCAACTAATCAGATCAGCCATCTCTTTATAAATTCAGTTTGTTGCTCATGAATAGTCAGAACATGTTGTTATAAGTCATTTCGGTCGGAGAGTATTGCCGGACGGCCGGCAAGGAGTCGACCGTGGCCGCGCTGCCGCACACAGCGGCAGCA